CCTACCCTCCCGCCTCGGTGTAACTTACCTAGTCTCCTGATTTTGGACTTTAGGGATCCCGTGTGGGTGGGAAGAGGTCAGCCAGAGCAAGGAGCGGCTGCGCTGAGCATCTTGCCCTCTGTTGCCCCCTTCCCCACACAAGCTGTTGCACCCTCTCTCCACTGTAGGCCTCCAGCCAGCTGTCCCGGGGCTCGGCCACAACGCCTCGAGGCATCCTGCACACGTTCAGCCAGTCACCCAAACTGCAGAATGCAGCCTCGGCCACAGCCCTCGTTAGCAGGACCGGCAGACATTCCGAGAGAGCCGTGAGCGCTGGCAAGGGCAACGCCACCTCCAACTGGAAGAAGGCGCCCCTGAGTACAGGTGGGCAGACCCCGTGGGGCTCGGAGTAGGGACCTCGCTGGGGTTGGGTCCATCCCTTCCTTATTTTTAACAAAGACGTGCACACGCACAGGTAATGGCACAAAAGGGCCCTGAACCTGCAGACGTGCTACCTCGGACTCTTCAGCTTCATCTCTTCTGTTCACTAAATAGGATGCCCTGAACAAGTGGTAGCCCTGGATAAATACTAATCACCCTTGCTGTCTCCACCCTCTATACCCAAACTCTCAGCTCTTGACCCAAAATGGGGGACAGAACCTGTTCAGGCAGTGCCCCCCACCCCCGTGCCATCAGTGGACCCTGTGAGCATAGATGCTCATTTTGCCAACTCACCCCCTCTCCCTTCCAGCCATAGAGAATGTCTGATTCTGCTGTTACAGTGTACTGATACCTTTTGCGGCACACTGACTTCATTTCTTGCTCACGCAGTGTCCTTCATTCCCTGCTCTCTGGGCACCCTCTTCCCAGCCCCTCTGACTTAGACAGGTCAGATGGTACAAAGTGCAAAACAGAATGAGAAAGCAGGCAGGAGGAGGGGGACCCTTGGGCGGGGGCTGAGATTTCAGCTGAGGTAGGCAGCAAAGGCGTCTGAGGAGATGGCATTTGAGGAACAACCAGGGGAGGTGGAGACCCTCAGGTGGTCACTCACCAGTCTGCCACAGCCCCACCTTCCCTGGATTGTCCTTGGGTCATCCCCCATACCATTTGTCCTGTTTTTTATTATTTATGTGCTGGCCTTAGGATGAAAGTTAAATATGTCTTGTGTCCGTCAGTAATTGGACAGTGAAATGTAGGCACAAAGAGCTGAGAGGTCTCACTGGAACAGGTGTCCCATCTCCCTCCTCACCCCCACGCCGGGCTTGCTCTAGGAAGAAGAGGCGCCATCATGAGATCCATCTCACTAGTCAGAACCGGGAAGTCTGGGTTGTTGGTGGAAACAAAACACAGAAGCCGGCTGTGCACGCAGCTGACCATGAGTTATAAACATGCCCAAATGTCAGAGCCTTCTAGAGGAGAGTGAGCTCGGGGGAGTTCATCCAACTGCAGAAGAATCTGGCTCTTCTGGAGAGCGGAGAGCATTTGTAAACAAACCAGAGATACTTTTGTTCAGCATGTTTAAGATTACAGCTAAGAACTCATAGACTGGTCAGAAGTTCCTTTTCTGGGAAATTTGAAAGTACATGAGATAAGTGGGAAAAGTCAAATATGAGAGTACGCGTGTATGCACAGTGATAGTACGACGTAAAAACTTTGTATTAAGGGTAACGTTCCAAAGAGAATATGAAGGAATAAATAGTTGCTGTGTTCAACGATTTGTGGGATTAGACATGAAAGTGTCATGGCTTAAGAGCAGCGTTTCTCAGAAGAGTTCTGCTTGGACTCCTGGTTGCCCTGGGTTTCTGGATGGTGGCTTTCTGGGCAGGACCTAGCAGCAGGTTTCTGGAGTGCTGGCCTTGGATGCGCAGGGAGGGTTCTGTGGTGCATTTGACTTTGGAACATTTATTCCACAAAATATATTAACCCACCAAAAATACTTCTGGGTAACACAGCGACTCTGGGCCCTGCTGCGGCTGAGACTCCAGGGCAGTCCTTTCCCGCAGGCCAGCCCAAAACCTAAGTGTGCCGGTTGGAGGCTGGTGGGGCGGTGGGGGGGCAGGGTGGGTGTGGGTGTGTGATACTTGGGGAATTCCCTGGCCGTCCAGTGGTTAGGACTCGGCGCTTTCACTGCTGGGGCCTGGGTTCAGTCCCTGGTCGGGGAACTAAGATCCTGCAAGCCATGCAGCACACTGCCCTCCCCCCCCCCCACCCCCCAGAAAAAGAAGTGATGCTTGTTCATTGTGGAAATTTGGAGAATACAAAAAGAGGAGATAATGGCAGTGGCCATTGTCAACTCCAGGAGAACATATGCTGCACTTCAGGACTTTCTCCTCCCCCCCCCCGCCTCCACCTCTTCACTCACGTGTCACACGTGTGTAAATGCCAGCACATATATAATAAAAAATAGGAAGTACCTTACAGAGGCATCATGCTGTATTTAGCATTCTGTGTCGCTCTTAATGTTTTAATGAGAGAATGTTACCATATCATTAAAAACTTTGAGGACAGGATCAGTTGTAATGACTGCATAGTATTGCATCATACTGGATTGCTCAGTTGCACAGTTCAGTCATTTGCAGTTTTTCAGTGTTCTGTATAGTACAGTAGTAAACAACTCAGTTTTCATAGTTCCGATAGATGACAGAATCTCTGATTATTGCCCCACGTGTAAGGTTACCATGGCAGAGGCTGGGAACATTGTAAAAGCGATTGAGTTATTAAAGTCTCTTTAGCTTCAAGGCTGGTATTTGAACCACCTTTGCTCAGTGGGCCCAGCTGAGGCTGAGGTCCTCCCAGGAGCCTCCCCCTGACTGGGGCTGTTGTGGCCTGTTGCTCTGTTCTGTTGCAGGCGGGGCCCTTGCATTTGTCAGCCCGAGCTTGGCGGTGCACAAGACCTCCTCAGCTGTGGACCGCCAGCGGGAGTACCTCCTGGACATGATCCCGCCACGCTCCATCCCCCAGTCGGCCACGTGGAAATAGTGCGAGCCGGGCCCAGTGGAGAACAGGCTCCCTCCTCCCTCCCACCTGGCCCCACCACCCTCCACTCGGGAAGACACCCTGCTCCCCGAGAGGGCGAGTAAGCGCCGGCCGCGCTGCGGAAGTGAGAGTTCCGATCTTGGCTGCAAAGTCTCATCGACGTGGGGGGACCACTTCACAGGTGGACCAGGATTATTACTGGGGACCTTTCCCATGGGCTTTCTTCCTTTCTTTGCCTTTAGTTTGCCCAACACCAGCAGAAAAGCGGACCTTGGGGGCTGGTTCTGCTCCTCGCCCTCTCCTTCGGCCCCCTGAAGGGCACATGGACGGCTCACCCTAGACACTGTGACACGCTCGGGCAGTGGCGCCCGGGGCTTCTGAAGTTGAGCGGAGCATTCTGTTTTGTTTTTGCTTTTCCCTCTGTCTTAGCCTCCTAATCTTTGACTGCCTTCCTTCATGGCAATCTCTAGGTTGACAGATTATTTTTAATCACCTCACGATGATGGAGTTTAATGTAAACTGTGCAGACCTTCCCTGCCAAGCACGGCCCCCATGCCCTGGAGGGTGGGCCTCTGACCACCCAGCCCTTGCTCCAGCAGAAGGCCTCTGCTGCTGCTCGTCCCGGAGACCCCCGACCTTCCACACTTAAGCAGAACAACAAACTGCAACCCGGACCCAGCCAGAGAGCCGTCAACAGAGTAGGGAGGAGGGAATCGGCAGCAACATCCAGAGCCTGAGCGGGAAGTTGGAGGGGCTGGGCTGGCTGTTGTGTTTTTTTGTTGTGGTGGTTTATTTTATTAAATTCTTTTCTTTTCCTACTTAACTTTGATGGACAACATCCTAAGCCCTGGCCTGTGCTTCTGTCAGGTGTGTCTGGGTGGGGAGGCGCCCCTGCACCGCCCCACCCCCACCCCCAGACTTCAGGGTTCATGTTTGGGTCTAGTTTAGAACCTTCCCTTAAAGCAGCTGCCAGGGTTTGCCTTCAGACTTTTTTTTTTTAACCCACCCCTAGAGTCTACAGAAATGTCTTACAAAGGATCAGGTCTGCTTTTAGTTGTGTTGTGTTTTGGTTTCTCCCACTCCTTAAAAATCGGTCCGTGAGGAAAGGCAGAAGCTGTTGTGTGTGTGCTGCACATGGGCCAGCTCTGTGCAGGTGTGAGGGTGTCATGTGTATGCACACACGCGTGTGTAGATGGGGTATGCTGCTCCTCACTTCAGCCCCAGCCCTGGTTTTCCTGTCCATGCAGTTAGGGACTTAATTTAAAATCCTTATTTTGTAGAGCCACCTTCTTCGAATACACTGCTGCAACATTCTAATAAAGGCTCATTTAACCGCCGCCGCGCCCTCCCCCACGTTGTGTGACTATCAGTGTTTAGAGGACATTTTTGACATGCCGTAGAACTAGTTTTCCAAAGCGTTCTGATTTTTTGTTGTGTAAAATCCTAAAGTTTTCATTGATTTTTGTTTTGAGTACATGATGTAGATGGGCTGAAGGAGGGGAGGGCAGGAAAAGGGTGGCTTTCATTCCAAGATCCAGGGATTTGGGGGAAAGGGGAAATTGACCTTCAGGAGGGGTGGGGGAGCGGGGAAGGGTGTGTTTTTACACCAAAAAATCAAGAGTATGCAAGCATTTCTATTCCTCTCATTTTTCTGTGTGCCTGGCAAATAAATACCTGTCTTATACTACTCTGAGCTGTTAGCTCTCTCTGTTCAATGACATGGGCCAAATTTTCCGAATCCTCCAAGAAGGAGTGCCCACTGGCCTCCCCTGCAAACTGACCTCAGTCCTATGCAGCAACTCAGGCATCTGGGCCAAGGTCACCTCTGCACTGGGTGTGCACCATCGTTGTTGCACCCCCCGCGGGGGCTGACTGGGTCTGTGACTCCAGGGCTCAAACTGAGCCACTTGCATTGGCCCCGAGCCCCGTCCCCATCAGAACCTCACTCTCCACTATGCTCAGGAACCACCTCTCCTCACCTCACCTGGCCAGACTTCTCCAGGCTGTTGAATAGGCCTCGTGAGTTCAGTACAAACTGACCGCCACAGGCGGAGGATGGGAAGGCCAGGCCCTGACCCTGTCTCTGCCTCCTGCAGCCCAGCATTTGCAGGAACATTCCCATAGTAGGACATACTGTGACATAAATGTAGCTTTTTAAAAGGGGGTCAAGAACGTGAGATGCCTTAATCTTTACTCATTTCTACTGTCTCAAAACTTCTATCTCCCCCCTTTTTTCCTTTAATTTCCCCTTTGCAGTGTAACTTCTATAAGCCTCAAGTGCATGGTTCTGTGATGAAATTTATAATGTTGCAAGAAAAAGGCATTAAATACCTCTCTGAATACAGGAAGGATATTAACATTAAGGGTATTCTCCCAGCCCCAAAGCCCACGCTTCAAAATTGGCTACAGTTCTGGGAGTTTGTAGGCTGAGAGGTTCTGGTTCCCAGGAGAACCAGAGAATGTGGGAGCCTCCAGTCCCAAATGACAATTGTAACTGCCCGGGAATCTGTGACAGCAACCCCCGATGGCAACTGGAAACTATTCAAAACGTCAGCTGTTCTGTGGACTCTGGTGTGGGGTTCACCAAGCTCACTTCCCCATCTGAAGTGGCTGCCTGTGTGGGCCCGAGTGTGCACGTGGATGCTCTCACAGATAACTGTGCATCCACTTGGAGCTGCCCATGGCTCTGGCCATCCTGACCATGTCATGTGGACTCCAGTCCTCAGTGTCCCATGTGTACTGTTGGGACCCACACCTTTGACAAGGTCAACAGTGGCCTCTTCCCGGGAGGCGGGAAGTGGGGGCCAGGGGTGGGGGGCGGGGCACGGCTCTGGTCCTGTCTGTACTATAAGATCTTTAGGAAGCAAAAGCTCACTCCAGTGCAGAGGGAATGAAAGAGGTGACAGTACACCCCTGCTGCATCCTGTGGCTCCTGTGCCCCACAAATCACTCTCCCGTGGGCAGAGAGACACGGGGAGGAGTTTTCTATATAAATAATACATTATCATCACAGGGGTGTAAATAATGGGAAAGACAGTCCTTGCTGCTCTGCCATAGGGTTTTTCTTTGATGCCTAGTTATGCTGCACATGGCGTTTGCCTAAAGAACTTGGACTGAGCTTTTTTTTTTTCTTAAAGGACAGCTAAAGTTTTATAATCCTTAACAAAGAAAAGTATAATAGTCACACTAGTGTAGGGTATTTGGGAGGTGGTTTGTTTTGGTTGGGGGGAGGAGATTGTCACTTGTATTTATTGTGACTCTAAGTCTTTGATAATAAATGTTTAAAAAAATAATCTCCCACCAAACCGGAACAGAAGTTCCAGTAAACAAAGACGCTGGAATCAATGGCTATACATTGTGTCATGAGGAAGTTTTAGAATCTGAAGGACAATAAAGAAATGGATGATGTGTTGGCTGTATTTTTTTTTTTTCCTCCCCTCAGCCCTGGTATCCCACGTTGTTTTTGTCGCGGCTTTGGGGCAGCTTGGAAACTTGGGAAGGAACAGCAGGGTGACCCTTTGTTGACGGGGAAGCAAAGGAAAGGAGAGGACACCTGCTTCTTGGGCTTCTTTCAGGCCTCACTTGTCATGGGTATTTAGTCTTCCCCCAACTGGGTTCCGCACCCTTGCTTCTGGGCCTCCATTTCCACCAGAACCTGGGGCTTTGTGGCCCGTTTACCCACAGCGCTGGGGGAGTGCAGTGAGAATGCAGTGGGTTTTGCCCGTCGGCCTGGCTCCTAGCCATCACCAGCCTCCATCCCAGAGTGGTGGGCTTTTCTGGATTGGCATGGCATTGGGTGTCTGCTGCAGGACATGATGTTGCAGGTGTAGATTCTAAGCACAGAGGGTGGGAGCCACCCGGCTGGCTCCGAAATGAACAATTTCTGGTGAAAATTTGTTTTCAGAGGTTGACACACTTTCAAAATTTTATTCACAAAAATGAGACTTGTAAGCACTTTGGTGAATTCCAATGTGCAGTAAATGTCACCCTGTTTTCCTAGGTGCTTTTACTTACTTATATATATATATATATTTTTTTTCTTTTTTTGTGGTACGCGGGCCTCTCACTGCTGTGGCCTCTCCCGCCGCGGAGCACAGGCTCTGGACACGCAGGCCCAGCGGCCACGGCCACGGCCCACGAGCCCAGCCGCTCCGCGGCACATGGGATCCTCCCAGACCGGGGCACGAACCCGCGTCCCCTGCATCGGCAGGCGGACTCTCAACCACTGCACCACCAGGGAAGCCCTACTTACATATTTTGCTGCTGCTTGTAATTGGGGCATCTCTGCCTCCAGCCTCCCCAGTGGCCATGACTAGCCTGGGCAAGGCATAGAACTGGTACAAGACATGACTGAAATTAAACGCAACCCTGTCCTGCTCCACCCGTGACACATACTGGTGCCCCACACCCCGACACTGGCTGAGAGAAGCCCGCTTCCGGGGTTCCACGGCCAGCCTTCAAGTGAGTCTTTGCTGGATTAGGCACAAGCTCCTCCGTTGACAGAGGCCAAGTCTCATGCATCTTCTCCAGCTAACAAATGGGACACCAGCCCTGGTCCCTGAGACCTTGTCCCCTCTGAACTGAGTTGTGGGTGTGGCCGTGAAGCAGGAGGACCCCAGGCCCATTGCTTACACAGATCAATCAGTGGACAGAAAAAGGCATGTGCCATGCCCCAGGCATTGGGATCACACCTTGAGACAAGGGTGAGGAGAGAAAGAATGGGGTATCACGGGAGGTGACCTTTTTAGGCCAAGTCTCGCGTGAAGGAGGGGAAAAGTGGTGCAGGGAGTGGGAGCAGCCTGTGCAAAGCCTCAGAGGTGAGACCAAGCAAGGCAGGTTGAGGACAAAGGAGAGTAGTATGGCTGGACCTTGGGGGCAAGGGGAAAAGGATGTGGGTTTTATTCTGAGTGAGCAAGTCATTTCCCCTTTCTTAGCCTGTTTCTTCCTCTGCAAAATGAGGGGGTTGGGGCCACAGCCTATTTGAAGGGAGTGAGGGTAGAGGTGGCACATAATCCCCAGGGCACCTGAGAGCCATGGGGGGTGAGGGAGCAAGGGGTGGGGTACGGTCAGACCCATAAATGACCACCCTCCTCAGGTACTGTGGGGCTCTGGTGGAGGCAGGTAGGATAAGGGCCTAGGCAGGTGTTTCCCATACACCCCAAATGACAAGAGCCACTGTCACCAAACCCAGTAACCTCATCACAGGCAAAATAACCCCCAATCTCCCCCAGGCCCCGTGGGGTCCCTCTCCAGATACCAGACACACACCTTTTACCTCTCCACCTCCTTTCCCCCTCCATTCCAGCTACAGGAGTTCCTAGCATTACTCAAGCACACCAGCTCCATCTTGTCTTGGGAACACTTGGAACACTCCTTTTGCTGTTTCCAGTGTTTGATTCCTTCCCGGCTCAGCTCAAATGGCGTTCCCTTCAGTCCCTCCTTGCTCACCCCCACCTGGCATTTAGCAACAACTTACAATTATTTTATTTTCACACCATTCTTTTATTTTACTTTTCACTTGCTCCTTTCACTGACAGCAGGGATGAATCCAAGCCATTTGGCTGAGTCCCAGAGCCTGGCACACAGCAGGCGCTCAAAAAAATGCAATGAATGAACAGAGTAAAGAATGAACCCTCAGACAAATGCCCCACCCTCGACTCTCCCCCGAGGCTCTTACCCTCACCAAGGAAGGGACCCTCACTAAGGAGAGCTTCCACCACCTCCCCACCCCACTTCAGACATATCTGGGTGCAAATCCTGGCTGTTCTTGGGCAAGTGATACCAGTGTGGGCATCAATTTTCTCTTTTGCAAATGCTGTTTCTGTAGGGACAGGCGACCCCCGCCCCTTGCTGTACCATCCTTAAACACCAGAAGGGTGCTGGGGTTCTTGCTCCCTAGTCCAGCACCTCCATTCCCAGGACCATTATACGACGCCGGGGACGACTCCAAAGCCCCTTCGAGTCTGCCCAAGATGGGAAGCCCGAAAGGTCTGGGTTCGAATCCTTCCAACTCCCTTTTCAGACCTGTAGCAAGAACCTCTACAAGCTTTTCTCTAAAATGGGGCGCCCGCGCCTGCCTTCTCCCAGGGAGCAATCCCCTCCCCCCAGCTCCGTAAAAGGGGGCCGTCGCTAGAGCCAGGTGCGAGAAAGAGCGAGTTTATTGCAAGTTCCAAGGGGGGCAGCGCCTGGAGCGCGCCGTTCCTCACCGGCATGCGCGGTTGGCTGTGGACAGACGCCCTCTGCGCGCGTCCGCTCGCCAGCAGCTTCTCCAAGCAGCCACTGCCCGCCGCGTAGCGGTCGCTCATTCCGCACGGGGGCAACGTTTCCCTCTCCTCTCGTCCAGCCCCTTCCCGGGGGCCTTCTCTCGGGGAACCGAGGAAGCGCACGCGCCCTTCTTCTCTTGGGATCGTGGCGGAGGAGCTGAATTCCAAACGGGGTCGACTGCCGCCCCCGGCGTCGAAGTGGGAAAGAGGAAAGGGCGGGTGCGCAGTGCCGCGCGGCGGCTTCGCGGAACTCCGGAAGCGCGCTTCTTGCGCGTGCGCTGCGCTTGCGCAGGGCTCGGGGTGGCGGGAATGGTGGGAACCCCGGCTTCTAGCCGGAGTCCTCCGAACGCAGCCAGCAGTGGCGCGCTACTTGGCTCGCGGAGGGCCTGGCCGCCGGGCTGAACTGCAGCAACTCGGCTATTAGGGCCTTGCAGCGCTCAGACAGCTCGAGGCCATCGGGGTAGAGAACGCCGCGCTTCTGACGCCGGGGCAGGCCGGCGATGTCGGAGTCGTCGAAGGGCATACACCCGGTGACCATGACGTAGAGCACAACACCCAGGCTCCACACGTCGTACTTCTTGGGGTCGTAGGGGATGCCGAGGAGTACCTCGGGCGACGCGTAGGCGGCCGAGCCGCAGTAGGTGGTGCTCAGGTCGGGGTAGCCATGCGCCTGACGGCCGAAGCCGAAGTCGGTGAGCTTGACGCGGCGTTCATCAGGGCTCAGCAGCACGTTTTCGCACTTGAGGTCGCGGTGCACCAGGTGGTGGTCGTGCAGGTAGCGCACAGCACCGGCGATCTGCGCGAAGAGGTCGCGCGCCTGCCCCCCGGGGATGCGCCCGTTTCGCTGCACGGCCTGCAGTAGGTCGGTGGCGGCCGCCTCCATCACGATGTACAGCTTCCCGTTGCACACCTCGATGAACTCGAAGACGTGCACGATGTGCGGGTGCCGCACGCCCCGAAGGATGGACAACTCGCGTGGCAGGAACTTGTTGACGAAGTCTGGCGGCGCGCGCCGCCGGTCCACCACCTTGATGGCCACCGTGCCCTTGTATTTCTTGGACGTGGCCACCTTCACCTTGGAGTAACTGCCCTCGCCTATCGTGCGGCCCAGCTTATAGCCAAGTTCGCTCAGAAGTTTGTCGCCTGACATGGTGGCGCGTGGGGAGCAGGAGGCGGCTGCTGTCGGTGGGCGGCCGGACTCCGATCTCGGGCCTAACCCATGGCACTTGGCACCTGCACACCCCCACCCCCATGTGCCCACTCCCGGGCCCCCACCGCCGCGGTGCCCTTTATTGCCTAGGTAACAATTTCTGCCTTGTGAAGTGACCGCGGGCGTCACCCCGCCTCGGGGTGGGGGGGTGGGGGCCCAGACCCCGCCCCGTGGTGTCCCCCAAGGCCCTAGCTAGGGCTTTGTGACTCATGATCACGCTGAATGGTGCAGTTCCCGATGAGAGGACACTAGCAAGGAGTCCCGACCACCACCAGTCCCGATTCCACCAGTGGAATCCGTGCCTGGGATTGGGGCGGCTCCTCATGAGTCCGAATCTGAGTAGCAGCCTTCCCCCAACTTCGGTACTCAGCCCTGACCCTGTGGAGCCCTGGGCTGCCCACAGGGCCCCCCGAGAGGGAGAAAATGGGAAGAGACCTGAGGGTTTCTAGCTGGCCTGCACATCGCCCCAGAGGGAAGGTGAATGGGTGGTCCTTTGGTGCAAGGACCCTGGCGACCGGACGGGCTGCAGGCTTTGACACCGACTAAGCCACGCCCCATGTGGGAGAAGAGAAAATAAGGACTTTACGGCCGCAGCTGGGGCGTGCAGTCGATCCCGGGCCCAGCTATCCGAGCTCTCCCACGCACTGGGGTAGGTAGGTGCACCGGGGTAGGTAGGTGCACCAGCGCCCTAGGTTTCGCAGCCGTGTCCGAGACCGGCGCGGCTGCTTCCGCCACACTCATCATGGCGTTGGTCTCCGTTGCGTAACTTCCTCCCGCGACCGGAAGTGCAGGGTCCTGTAAGCATGGCGGCGTCGAAGGTGAAGCAGGACATGCCCCCGCTGGGGGGCTACGGCCCTATCGACTACAAGCGGAACCTTCCGCGTCGGGGACTGTCGGGTTAGTGTCGCCCTGCGCCGGGGTGTCAGGGTCTGGGCCTTCTGGGTGCCGCGGCGGGGTCGGGACGCCGGGGAGTCTAGCGGGCCTCAGTTTCCCTCTCCATATGACGGGAAGCGGAGTTCCAGGATCTCCAACAGCTTCAGTACTAACAATAACGACAACTGCTGCAGTTTGTCGAGCATTTACTAAGCCCTTTGCCTCCTCGGAACAGCCCAAGAGGTCGGTGCCGTTAATTCCCATTTTACAATTGATGAAACTGAGGTTAATTTAGCCCGCGCCGCGATCCTTCCGCCACGTTCCGGTTTCACAGGTGGGGAAACTGAGGCCCGAGAGAGGATGCGACCTCCCCACAGGGCCACCCAGAGCAAAGCTGGGGCCGAAACCCGAAATACCGAGGGAATTTAAAAGATGTTCTGGAAAAAAAAAAGAGAAGATGTTATGTGCAGTGGTTCCTCTCTGGTGGCCCCCAACTTCAGGCTATCCCAGAATTATGTGTTCTTAAAATTGTCAAGGGTTCTAAGTAACGTTTTAAATTTTTTTATTGGGTTCAACACAAAAAAATGTAAGCGAGAAAGTAAAAGGCGCCCATACTCTGCACCCAAGGATAACGGAGAAATACAAAAAATGTAAAACGAGTTAAGAATGAATACTTTGTTACAAGTCATTGAACTTTACATTTAACCGTGCGCATGTTGTGCAAATTATGCCTCAGTTAAAAAGCCAAAAAATTCATGGGCATGGTTTCAAAAAAAAAAGTTATAATTCAGACAGTAGAAAAGTTACTGTCAGGTGAAAACTCAGGTCTTCCCCTGCCCCTTCTTGGCTTTTTTGTAATCCAGAACAGAGGTTGGCAAACTTTTTCCGTAAAGAGCCAGATAAACAGTTCGTGCTTTCTCTGCCAGATGGTCTTTATCCACTATTGCTGCTTGTTTTTACAACTTTGCAAACCTAAAAGTGTTCTTAGCCCGAGGGACATACAAAAACAGGTCACAGACTAGATTTGGCACCACATGGGCACTCGACTCTAGACTCATTCCTAGATTCAACAAATATAAAGCGATCTTTGAGTCTCTTCTTAACACCCAGGTCAGTGCACTCCTCGGGTGTGTGACATGAGGTGTTTATACATGGATAGTTCTGTGACCAGGCTGCAGACCAGGCTGCAGAAGGACCCTAGCCCTTGGGTCTCCCTGGGCTTCCCATAGTCAGCATCTCTTTCTTTTTTTTTTTTTTTTTTTTTTTCTTGCGATACACGGGCCTCTCACTGTTGTGACCTCTCCCGTTGCTGAGCACAGGCTCCGGACGCGCAGGCTCAGCGGCCATGGCTCACGGGCCCAGCCGCTCTGCGGCATGTGGGATCTCCCCGGACAGGGGCACGAACCCGTGTCCCCTGCATCGGCAGGCGATCTCTCAACCACTGCGCCACGAGGGAAGCCCTCTTTCGTTTTTAAGTGACAAATGTGGCCCATATCCCGGTCCTTTTCCAGTTAATAATACAGCAGTGCCTCCCGTGTGCCTCAAATACCACCAATTGGGGTTGGGTCTCCCATCACAGCCCTTGACACCAACTTTCATTGCAGCACATACAGACCCACCCCAGTCTTTCCTGGTTGCAGAGGGGTGAGGAATATAAGACCACATTCCTTTCTGGGATGTGGTCTTTGTTTATGTACCTGCATTTAGTAATTGTTGAGTGCATCCGTGGTGCTGGGCTGTGTCCTGAGGAGCTCACTGTTTAGCTGAGGAGACAGACACATCACTCCATAATTTCCCATTGTGGTCAGTGCCGGAGCCTAGGATAACTGGGGCTTGCTTTAGCCAGAATGGGCGAAAGGACCTCTCTGAAAAGGATTTCCCCAGGCAGAGGGAACAGTAAATGCAAAGGCCCTACAGTCTGTCTTGCACCCTGCCCTCGTCCTCTGTCCTCCAGCCTTATCCACAGCTGCCCTCTCCCAATCAGTCTTGCTCTTGTCAAGGCACCGTGGCCCCAAGCCTGGCACCGACTCCCCTTTTCTCTGCCTGGCCCACTCAGGGCCAACATCCCAGAACATGCCAAGCTGGCTCAGGCCGCCTTTAATCCATGCTGCTACCAAAGTGACTGCTACCCCCACCTTTTCCCTTTATCTCTCACCCCCAGCTCTCCTCTCTCCACTCCCACCTGCACCCAGTGGCCCTTTCGTTTTTTTGGTATCTTTAACATTTTTATTGAGATTCACATGCCATACCATACAGTTCACCCATTTCATGTGTACAGTTCACCAATTTTTAGTCTATTCACAGTTATGCAACCATCGCCATGATCTAAATTTACAACATTTTCATCACCCCAAGAAGAAATGCTCTACCCGTTAGCAGTCACTCCACATTCTCTCCCAGCTCCTGACAAGCACTAATCTGCTTTCTGTCTCTGGATTTGCCTCTCATATAAATGGCATCATTCACTCTGTGTCCTTTTTGTGTGACTTTTCTCAGCACGGTTTTAATGCTTATGTTGTAGTGTTTCAGTGCTTCATTCTTTTTTATGGCTGAATAATATTCTTGTATGGATGGACCACATTTTGTGTGTCCATTTACCACTTGATGGACATTTGAGTTGTCTCCACCTTTTGGCTGTTATGAACAGTGCTGCTGTGAACATTCCTGTACAGGTTTCTGTGTGAACATATGTTTCCTTTCTCTGAGGTGGAGTGGAATTGCTGGGTCATACGGTAACTCCCCATTTAACTTTGTGAGGAACTGCCAGACTGTTCCCAAATTGGCTGTACCATTTTACGTTCCCACCTGCAATGTACGGGAGTTCGAATTTCTCTGCATCTGGACAACACTAATTACTTTCCATTTAAAAAACTTTTAGCCATCCTGGTAGGTGTGAGGTGGTATCTAGTGTGGCTTTGATTTACATTTCCCTAGGGACTAACAATGTTGAACATCTTTTCATGTGTTTATCGGCCATTTGTATAGCTTCCTTGAAGAAATTTCTATTCACATCCTTTATGCATTTTTAATTGGGTGGTTAGTCATTTTATTATTGAGTTTTAAGAGTTCTTTATATATTTTGGATACCATTCCCTTATCAGGTATATGATCTGCAAATACTTTCTTCCAGTCCGTGGGTTGTCTTTTCAGCTCACTGATGGTGTCATTTGCAGCACAAAAGTTTTAAATTTCAACGAAGTCCAATTCTGTTTTTTTCTTTTGTCACTTGTGCTTCTGGTGTCATATCTAAGAAACTATTGCCTTATCCAGAGTCACAGAGAATGACTTCTCTGTTTTCTAAGAGTTTTATGTTTTAGCTCTTAGTACATTGAGGTCTTTGATCCATTTTGAGTTAATTTTTGTGTACGGAGGGAGGAAGGAGCACACTTCTTTTGCATGTGGCTATCCAGTTGTCCAATTTGCTGAAAAGACTGTTCTGTCCCCATTGAATTATCTTGGCACCCTCGTCCAAAATCAATTGACCATAAATGTGAGGGTTTATTTCTGGACTCTCAGCTCTGTTCCATCAATGTACATGTCTATCCTTATGCCAGGGCACACTGTCTTGTACACACAGCTGCGTGATAAGTTTGAAGAGTCCTCCAACTTTGTTCTTCTTTTTCAGAATTGTTTCAGCTATTCTGGTCCCTTCCATTTCCATATGAATTTCACGATCTGCTTGTCAATTTCTGTGGGACTGTGGGGGGAAGGTTGGGATTCTGATGGGGACTGTTGAATCTGTACCTCAGTTTGGAGAGTGCTGCCATCTGAACAATGTTAAGTTCCGATCCATGAACACAGGATGCGTTTCTATTCATTTAGGTCTTCTTTACACATGGCCCGCACCCCCTTCTGGGCATGCCCCTCGTTGGCCTCTCCCACCAGACTGGCAGCTCTGGAGGCACAGACACCCCCTGAAGGCCTGGGGCCTCGGCCTCACCACTGTCAATGAGGAATAGATGAGTTAGAGCTGCATCATCTTAAAGGCCACCTTACCTTAGTCTTGGAATTTATCTTACGGATGGGCCCACACATGGGTGCCCAATGTTGAGGGCAAGAGGTCCTCACAAAGACAGTCTCTCAGTCTTTTCCCTGGGGCTGGGTCGGAAGAAGCAGCCCCGGGCCTCTCTGCAGCTGTTGCAAATAACAGGCAGCTCTGATGAAACGCTCCCACCCAATGGAAAGAACGTTGAGTGCCCAACACAGGTGGTCAGCCATTGTGGGAGAGCCATGAGTGCACTACGGACTGGTCCTGGGCACTCGGCCCTCTCAGGAGGGGTCCTACTTCTGAGCACAGGAACCAGGGTGCCCTCGCTACCTTGTCCCCCGTAACATGGAAGTGCCTTACCCTGAGCTCATGTTTTTAACAGGTTGAACTAAAGGGATTAAAAAATTGAGCCAGTTTCTCATTTATCTCTGGGTCCAACAGAGGTGCCAGAGGAGCCTTGTGCTGGAGACGAGCTGAAGAAGAAAGAGTCCCCACTTTGTCCCCCCACGAGTCCCAGGAAGTGGCTTTACCCACCATTTGCCGGTCCTTTACTGGGTGATAAATGGAGCTCGGTTTGGCTGAGCTTGTCATTTCATCCCAGCAACCACAAGTTCTGTCCAGAGGAGAGACTGAGGCTTGAAAAATGAGGTGGTGCAGGACAAGCCAGCCCCAGCCAGGCCCCAAGCGTCCAGACCTCCCCGAAGACCCCAGCAGGCCCACAGCCTGTCAGTCAGAATTATAGCACAGGTGCCCACGGGTTCTCAGTAAATATTCATTTCAGCCTCTGTCTCCTGGGGTCCTGGGAAGGGGCTCCACCCCACTGGGCCGGGAGGAAGCAGCACCTGGGAGCCCAGGGGGTGGCTGGGCAGCCCCTGCAGGGCACTGCCTGCCTCCAGCAGCCCCATCCAGCCCCCTGTGGGCAGCACACAGGGAGGTGGCCCAGGCAGCCGGGACCTCCGTGGAGCTGGGACCCAGCATGGACACCGCCCTTCCCAACGGGGACCAGCTGGCTGAAGGGAACCAAACAACCTTCTAGTCAGTGGCGGGGCCAGGGCCACCCAGCCATAAACATTTAGGCTCTCAGGCCCTCTAATAGTCTCTGCCCGTCCTGTACCTTCCAGGAACCCTGGCATGGGGGCAGAGGTGTAGCAGCCTCGCAGCCTGGTGTCCCCGCCCGCAGACTGGGTGAATGGGATAAAGAGTGGGCTGCAGCTGCGGGGGGGGTGGTGTCCAAGGGAGGGGGCCAGTGGACTTTCCACAGAGACAAAAAAAAGTAGTCTGAAAAAATAGGCATTAGAGATGGTACCGGCCATCTCTGGCAGGGGGTTCATGAGGGCTTTTGCCTTCTCCCTCATTCATGTTACTGGAGTATTTGCACAGTGAGTGGGTTATGCTTCAGGAGAAGAAAGGACAAGGTGGCCTGTCCCACGTGCAGGTGCTGAGCAGCGCCCCCTCTCCCCACAGGTTACAGCATGTTCGCCGTGGGTATCGGGACCTTGCTGTTTGGGTACTGGAGCATGATGAAGTGGAACCGCGAACGCAGGTAGGCCCTGCGCTGGTGAGGATGGGAGGGTGGGGACGTGTGCCTGTGGACTTAGTGTACCTCGGGGCCCCTTGTCAACTCCTCAGGCCTCAGGGAGTGCAGGCCCTGACACAGCAAGTCGATTTCTGGGCTTTACCCTCAAGGAATGACTGACTAGTAAGCAAGAAGCTCGCCGCCAGATGTTTACTGGGTGCCCTTGACGTCCACCACTGGGTACCCGAGGGTCCACGTTAGCATAGCAGAGGTGGAGGTGGAGGGACAGGCCCGTGATGCACTCTCTTAGTGGGTTTTTGTCTTTTTGTGGGTGGTGACCGGGCAATGATGATATAAAGGCTTAAAAAGCAGATCATGCAAGATAGTGGCCGGGCCAGCCGTACAGGGCCTGAGGGACCCAGGTCTGCAATGGCCTTGGTTGGGACTCTGGCCGCCTCTGAGCTTGCCGGACGCCCCGCCACGTGGCTCCTTCTCATTGGCTCCCAACGAGCTAGGCCCCTCCACCCTCTCCCACTCTGTGTCCTGTGTCCTTAGCACCCACCTCAAGCTTGCGCACCCCTAGCACAGGCGGTGCTGGAGAAGGCCTAGCACGTGGAGGGAGCTCAACATTGTTGAGTGAACTCAGGAGCACCTGGTGGGTGCTGGACGCTAGGGCCACCACACTGGACAGGCAAGACCAGGCCCAGTCTCCCAGAGGGACCCAGTAGTAACCACAGTGTGTGACTGTGGTGAGGGCAGCAGCCTGGAGCGGGGCTGCTACCCTGGGTCCTGGGGGATGGGGAGGGGGTGGGAGGGTTGAGTTGGGGGCTGAAGTTCACCCAGACCCTTCCTTGTGCTGCTGTGAGATTCCTGGTGATGAGGGGACAGGGCCGGAGGCCACTCCCTGGGCCACATCATTGGGCATCGCTCTCCCCACACCTCCCAGCACAGGTGGGGCTGGTGGCTTGGAGATGCCAAAAAGCAGGGAGAAGAAAGGAGCTGCCCATGATGCTTGCTCCCCCACGGCTATTTTGTGGTGAAAGTGATGTGATTTTGTAAAGTCCAGAACCCCATGATGAACGTTCCCCACAGTTCACTGCAATCATCAGGCCCGGGCTATTTTTAGGATTTAAAAAAAAGTTTTGAACTGAAAAGAAAGTGTGAAGCCAGCAGTCTTGTTGACTGACGCCGCCTGTGTCGACTGCATGCCCCCCCCATCCCCCGTCTCAGGCTGCCTGTGGGCAGAGCCCACTGCCCAAGCCCTTCCCCCTTGCTTGCCTCTCCCCCAAACCCCTTTCCAGGGTAATGCATGTCCAAGGGCCTCATCATCTTCCCCCCATCCCACCATGGTCTGATCTGAGTGTTGGTTTTGGGGTTTCACAGGCGCCTGCAGATCGAGGACTTTGAGGCCCGCATTGCACTGATGCCTCTGTTGCAGGCAGAGAAGGACCGGAGGTGTGCTGCTGGGGCCAGGGTCGGGAGGTTACAGGCCTGAGTGCTGCAGCCTGCAGCGTGGGATAAGGCCAGAACACACATGGGGACCGACAGCCATGACCTTGTACATGGCTCCGGGGGATGTCCTCATCCTTGGAGAGGGCCCCAAACTTGATTTGCAGCAGAGACCCAAGAGAGAATGGAAGGGCTTCTGGAGGAGGGGGCATTGGGGCCGGGCAGGAGGACAGTAAGAGTCTGCCAGTGGAAGAAAGGAAAGAAGAGGGGTCAGCATGCGCAGGGTTGAAAGCTGCAGGAGGTGATGGGGAGGTGGGGCAGGGACACGTTTGGCAGGTGTGTTCGTCAGGGGCCCCTCAGGGTGGTCAGGCCTGTCCCCCACCTCCCACCCTGTCCCTGCAGGGTTCTCCAGATGCTTCGGGAGAACTTGGAGGAGGAGGCAATCATCATGAAGGACGTGCCGGATTGGAAGGTGGGTCCTCAGCAGGGAGGGCGGGGGTCTAGGCCACTGCAGAAATGCAGCCTCCCACAGAAAACCTGGGGCCGAGGGGTAGTGGGTGTCAAGTGCCAGAAGGGGAAGGCAGTTTTGGGTGTAGGCACAGTGGCTGCCAGGCCTGGTGGGGTCCCAGCAGGCTGCATGGGCCTAAGGGGTTAGCTGCACCACCACCCATACACTTCTGTCCCCTCAGGTAGGCGAGTCCGTGTTCCACACAACGCGCTGGGTGACCCCCACGATGGGCGAGCTCTACGGGCTGCGCATGAACGAGGAGATTCTCCACGCCACCTATGGCTTCATGTGGTACACGTAGGCACCTGTGCCCCTCAGACCACTGGACCCCTACTCCCTCCCTACCAGGAGAGAATAAATGCTCTGGAGACTGGCCTGCCTGTGTCCTAGGGACTGAGTGATTGGGGATTGGGGGCTACAGGGTGTCACAGGAGGTGCAGGGACTAAGCAGAAGATGCCAGTGGGATGGCCCCTGGATCACCCTTTAGCATCGGCTACCAAATATGCCTGGACTTTTTCCTACCTTTTTTGAAACGCTGCTTGTCAGCAGCCAACCCCTTCAGACTGGGGGGCTTCTCCACCTGGGTACGGGGTGGGTGGGTGACCTGCATAGGAGGGCACCGGGGTGGAGAGGGGCGCAGTACAGGCGGGTCCCCTCGCTCCTAGGCCAGGATCCCATAGCAGGGGTAACCGACCCATCGCTGCTCCTCCAGACTTTGTTTTCTTGCCAATATTCACAACTCTGGGATTCCCGCCATCCTCTGAGGCAGCAGTGGGGTTAAGTCCACTTGCACCTACCGACCAACGGCTGTGCACAGTGCCTTCGCGGCGTCTCTTGATTGGCGGACACACAGGGTGGGCGGGAGGAGAGAGGACGCCCCCTCTGCCCAGGGATGCACTTAAAAGGCTGTGGTGGTGGTGGCTGCCTGCGCGCCCAGATCACCTCCGCCATGAGCAGCGCGGCTGGCCCGGACCTAGCGGAGGCACCCGAGGAGCGGTGTTTCCTCAGGTCAGCCGGTGGGGGGGGGGGGGGGGGCAG